TTGTGTTTGAAAGTTGCAGTTCTTGAACGAATCGATTGTATCGTATGTTACAAAATGACGGATATTATTTAAGATAATAAAAATATCCACGTTTTGTAGAGAATTTAACGAGGAATCTTTTGCTAAAAACGTTTTTCTTAAACACTGATATCTAAGTGAGATATATGGAAAATACTGAGAGGCTCATTCATTATGCGTTACCCGTTATGGGGAACAGAACTGATAAGAAGATGACCGTAGTATTCCAGCAAAAAATCTTGAAAAAGTATTCGTTGCACCATACCTTGTTTAGATTGGATAAACGTTTAATACCTGATGTATGTATTTTACCTTCGAAGTCAAAATGTATGGATTAGTAATATTCTGATTGTTTTGTATAGGTTTCTTACACACGTGTTCGATATATATGCATATGTGATATCCGTTTCGCATGAATGAAAACACATCAATAACAATTTAAAATTGCTATCACCCCTATACGATTGCTTTTTTAATAGTATTTTTCTTTGCCGTTGGTTGTTGCGCACATGGTCTAATGTGACTAACAGTAGATGGCACAAAAATATGACTCCAAAATACTGGAATTGGCAATCGTTAGTATTTAGCTGCGAATTCTGGGTTTCTTTCATCACTAGATGACACTGCTTGCTGTGCAATATTATGTGTTCGAATAAAAATTTAGAATTGAAGAGTCAGTGCTGTGCCTACGGATGAGATTGTGTCGCTGATAAGTATCTGATTGATGAGATGTTCTTTTAAGATTTTACTCGGGAGTAACGAGTATAAAATCTGAAGTTTTTCATAAACATATTTTCTTTAGACTTGGAGATTCTAGATGGATAATTCTATGTGGATATTGTTGCATCAACAATTAATTTAACAATACCATTAAAATCGGAAGATTTTAATTGGCAATATATATTAGAATATTTAGCATTAGATTTAGAGATTGATAAACATGATATGGTTATAATTGATGCACGTCAAGGTAGTACAAAACTAAAAATAGCATTAAAAGCAAAAATATCAAATTACACACATAAAGTAGAAAAAATAGGAGAAAAAATTCAAACATTTATACTGAGTGAAGGTAAAATGATTTCTTATATTAAATCATTACCAACAGCAAAAGAAGTTGAACAAATTCATATTGAATTTTGTAAAAATACAACCATAAATCAAGATGATGACAATGAAAGTCTCGCACCAAATGATATTGATTTTTATTTACAGATGAATGAACGTCCAACAGTTATTGATCGTATATCATGGGACTATTTATTAGAAAAAAGTCGTGAAATAACGACATGTATATTAAATTCATTCAAGAATGCGATGAAGAATACGTTATAAGTAGTATTGCTTTAGTTTACAATGAACAACTGTATGGTCCATATAAACAAGGCTCAGAAAAATTATCAAATGAAAAAATTTTATTTCACGATACTTGTACAACCAATATAGATGGAATATTCAAAGAAAATTTTCTTTGTAAACAAACAACTGATGCAGGATGGTTTGGTAAAGGTCTTTATTTTCCAAGTTCTTCAAGATACGCTATATTTTATTCTAAACAACATGGTGAAAAAATTATCTACTCGTTGTGTTCATCAGTAGCGTTAGGAAAAATGTTACATATTAAAGACAGAAGTTATGATGGAGAAGACCTTCATCCCGATTATAATAGTCATTATATTCGTGTCGATAAAAATTCAAATAATCCAATTACTAATGACAATGATGACTATTATAAAGAATATGTCGTTAAAAATAATGAACAAGTTTTACCACTATATGTTATTGGTCTTCGTCGAACATCTAAATTTGTTTTATGGCGTGATGCAGAAATCGGTAGTGGTGAAAATGCTCAGATATTTCAGATTTTAAAAGGACAATATGGTTTTAATATTTATGCAAGTGAAACATCAGATGAAGGTATTCAGTTATTAAAACGAAAAATACAGAATAATAAAAAATGTGTTGTTATAACAAATGGTAGTAATAATGGCAATGAATTTGCACATGAATGTAGAAAAATATGTTCGACAATACCAATTCTTGTCTATTGTAGAAATGTTGAATATCATCAACGATGGGCGTTCGAATTAGGTGGTACACCAGCAATTAAAGTAACAGATAATGAAATGGATATATTTGAATATATTAATAAAATTCTCATTGAAACATAATTATTGAATTGAGAAATTTACGTTCTTTTAGAGTTTTTTTCATTATTAGTTTTCTCTTCTCGAATTATTCTAGTTACAATTATAACATTTAGCTTACTGATTCACTACAGGTTCTTCATTAAATTGAAATTCTCATCATTGTCTGCATCGAAGAAGTCGTATTATATGATGTGAATTAAGGTGAAAGTCATAGCTCTTCAGTCGAGAAGCGTACAGAGTTGGGGAACATCTCATTTTGTAGCTTAAAGATTTTTCTTTCAAATGGTAATTAAGCAAAGTCTAGCAGCTAACGAGTTTAAGTGATATAATGAGTTGATATACCTCACTTTCGTAAAAAAGGGCTTATCGGCAAGAATTATAGGGACGTGTTTAGGGCAGAGCTCGAATTTGCTTAATTACCATTTGAAAGAAAAATCTTCAAGCTACAAAATGAGACGTTTCCCAGCTCTGTACGTTTCTCGCCTGAAGAGCAATGACTTTCACGAAACGTTACGAACTTACGTTTTTTGGCTGGTACGCCTGGACAGGCCGTAAGAGCAGCTCCTATCCGAAGTATGCAATGTTTCAAAGAGGTCAATGTTCATCTCAGCACATTGGCGTATAGCCAAAGATATCCTCTATCAAAATTCACCAAACCTTCGTCGAAGGCAAAAGAATCTGTTAGAATCACAGCAACTGAGTAAAATCTGTCAATTTGTAGCAGAGAAGTAAATGTCAACTTGACTGGAACAACTCTTTCTTGGATCTGAATAAATGCTGAAAAACGTTTTGCGCGAAAACTGCATGAAACCACAAACTTTTTTCCGTGACTCGAATGAAACCCAAAACTTGTACCAAGCGAAACTATCATTCGACGTCTACATACTAAGGGTTTTTTTCATCTTACACAGTAAGCAACTTGCCAGACCTAATACCAAATGAAACGAAAAAGCTTTCATTGAACAGTTGCAACCTGAAGAGCGAACTCTGTTTTGTGAACCGTTTCAGATTAGATCATTGCATGGACCCTATCTCATCTTTTGGGACGATATCTGAATGATGAGTCCAGCTTGATCTATTATCTAGGATTACCGGCTTATTGTCGGTAACAAAAAAGAACGGATTCGGATGTTTTTTGAATAACGTTTGACATGAAAGCGATAGATGCTTGCGGTCTTCACCAATCGAAAGCCAAAACATGGCTGCATCTTTCACAGTGAAAGTCATTTTTAGAATCTTTTTATGAAGCAGATTTTTCACAGGAACTCTGGAAAATCAGGTCGTAGCCAAAACCTTGAAACACGAATATTTTGATTTTTTCTATGGATAGATAGTCCAAAGTAACCCCTGCAAAATGGAAGCCAAGCGAGACTCTCATCTTCGATTGTTTAGGCCTGCCATCGGATTTCCTGGGAGTCCCAGGACTGATCTTTGTTCACATGTAGGTACCTCAGAAATGACTCTAGACAGGGATTATCGACCACGCTGAGCCTCGTGGCATCTCTATTTAACGATTTAAAAACATTTTTACATAAGAACTATTAGAACCTAAGCTGTTTTAACTCCTGTACTTCCTTAAAACTACTTCATTTTATTTCAAACCAGTATAATGTTACATAAACATGAATGAAACAAAACTGTTATCTATCCGTGTCATATTCTAAATCATCCCCATGAAAAAATTTAAAACAAAAAGACGCGTGGAAACGCGTTTTATTTTAAGCGAACATGTTTTCGCTCGACTTTTTGCGTGTTTTTATAACGCGTTCAGACGGGTTTTTTTCTATTGAAAACGCTAAAAGCAGTTTTCATTAGAATAAATGAAGCGCCGTCTTTTTTATTTTGCAAGCCTTCTTAATTGTTAGTTATTATTTTAAGTGACTGTCTTCCTAATGTCCCCTATGGAGCTTCAGGACGTCACCCATGCATTGTATCGTCTTGAATATCGCTTGCCAGTCAAATACATACAGTTTTAATTGTTTGCCAAGATTGAGATTCGAACATACGTACCTAGAATTATAAATGAATTAACATGGACAGTGAATTTTGTGTAGATAATACTAACGAGAACCTATGTAACTGGTTCAAATTTGAAATGTACTTCGAAAGTGTCAAAATCTCACTTTTCAAGTGGTATTCAGTATTTTGAAGATTTCTCCCCCAAAACTTGATCAAAAGTGAATAAAAAGGTGATATTCGGAATCTACGTTTCACGTGCTATGCAACCATATATATCTAAAGAAAATCTATTTTTGTGTGTACTTTTCAAATTTCCGGCACCTTACTATGAGGCGAATACTATACTGTGTCCGAATGACAGCTCATGCTCACTTCAAACAAAAACACGTATTTCCTGATAAAAAACGCGTTTTGAGCGAATTAAAAAAACGCGTTTCAACGCTTCAACAAAACCGCGTTTAAACGGGTTTTTCACACGCGTTTTTTATCAGGAAAGCGCGTTTTTTTCAACGGGTTTTCATGCCCAAAAACGCGTTGCAAAACAAGCCGACGCGTTTAAACGCACAAACAGCGTTTTTGTAAATAAACTTTGCGTTTCGACGCATTTTTTCGTGGGTCTTCTATGATGTCTTTGTCCATGTCCCCAGCTACCCTATCTGCCGCTGTGAATCTTTCCTCATAATTTTGTGTGTGCTGTATAAAACGCGCTATCAATTCTTTGGAACATGCAGCCATGTATGTTTGAGATAATGTCGTAAGATCCATAAGAGTAAATTGATTGTTTTTATCTCAAATAGAATCTTTGAGCTTCGGCCAGGCTAATTCTATCGGGCTGAAGACACAGTGTTTTATCGGTAATCGTAAAATCTCAACTTTGAATTCTTTCACCACCTCATCAACTTTGAATTTCTTTTCTGGTGCATAAGCAGCTGCTAGCTCGAGTAATTCTGCTTCGGTATACAAGTTCAAGTAAGGCACCTTACGCTCTTCTGAACATTGTATAATCCCTGCCTTTTTCCATGCTCGCTTTAGTAATTTTGTTTCATTTGTCTGCTCATTATGTCATGTTATATTATCAATAATGATGCAAATTTTAGCGTCGCCTAAACATAAAACAGTAGTGTAATCCTAGATTTACCGAACCCTTACTCAGTTATGTAATTTACTATTTTCACCTCTTAATGTACAGGAAGTTTCCCAAACTCATGTAACAAAACGACTTGAATCCATACTGTGCGCTTCATTACATTCGAAAATATCAACTGATGATATAGATTGACAAAAGATAATTGTGTTGATAAACGGGTATTGTTGCGGGTTTTGGTTCACAAAGATTAGAAATGACTCTGATAAGTGAATGCTCTTGATTCAGTAAACGAATCTGGGGATTATTATCAACACGGAATCGTATGATTTTCTTTTCGTCATATCTGTTAAGAGGAATGCTTGATCATCTGGCCCCTAATAATCAAAAAATTGTTTATTCTTAATTTATAAGATATTTTTAACCACGAATTGAGCACAGCATTAGCAACTAAGTTATTCTTTTTTTATTTCTCCTTTACCAACGGTATTTTTTCATAAATATTTTGGATAAAAAGACCTGTACAAAATAGATCATTTTTTTATAAAAGTCTTACGGCTCGTTAAGTGCATAGTAGTTTGCAATGCGATATTTTTTCATATTGCTTTATCACGTGCAATGAATAGCGTACGGTTTGAAATAAAACATTTTTTATCTAAATAATAATCTCACAACGATGATGTTAAATTCAAGCATTCAATTGGTTTACCTGTAGAATATAAGAACGATTTGAATATGAATGTGGTAAATAACGAAATTCATTCGTTGTTATGAGACAACGATCAGCAAAGGGAATCAGTTTATTACTAAAATGCATTGCGTTCTAGAAAACAATCCATAACTCATTGAAGACAAACTATAATAAGATAAAACTTGTGCTAGAAAAACTGAACTCGTTAACTTAGCTGGGTTAAAGAGTCAAGAGTGAACTTTCTAAAATTATTCTATCTTTTAATAATTTAGAATTTTTAATTTTAGGATAACGTTAGCTCACTACCTTGTTCACATATACAGTAAAACAAAGAGCTATGTAATAAACAAAATATATGAAGAGGAGAGAAAAACGCGAAAAGAGGATGAGGTGAACAATGTCTTATGTCAGAAGGTACTTCTGACTTTATGAGATAACAGATAAAAGGAGTTCTTAATCCAATGAAATATATGTAATTCAAAAAAACAAATCTCTACCGATTTCTCGAAGCTGTTTTCTATGAAACATTCAGTCAAGAAGTTACTCAAATCACTCCAAGGCGCATGGGTGATTCTGAGCTGAGAAGCTTGACCGTTCCAAGCGCCTTGGAACGATCAAGTTTCAAAAAGCATTCGATTACCACGTCACCTCAGGAGTTACACATTCGACTGACGGTTCGCATTGATAAGCCCTTTCCAAATGATTCCAAAAATATGAAAAAGTCTTTGCGATTCAAGACATCATTTATTATACAGGTCCGCCGGCTCAGGGCTGCGCGAGTCCGAGTCGAGTTACATTTGTTTAAAGACTCCGACTTGACTCGGACTCGAAAATTGGGTGACGTTGACTCGAGGCATTCATTCAAAAAAATTTTCGATTGCTCTTATAAAAAAATTACAATTTATAAGATTACATTTTCACTTATTCATAACTTTCGTCCTAATTGAATATATTGCATCAGAACAATTTTTTTCAAGAGCTTTTTTCTACCTATGTATTCATATGGTCGTAAATGACAGCCCACGTGTATTAGATTAAATTATTAAAAATCTATTACAGTTGTGTCTTTTTATTTTATGTAGGACTGTTCTTATTCTTTTTGTGCATAAAAACTAGGAACTGGATATTGTGTCATGAAAAAATTGTTGTAAACGTTGTTTATAAAAATAAACAGAAAACGAAAAACTGGCAAAAATAACTTGACTCTACTCGACTTGACTCGGAAACACTGGTGACTTGACTTGACTCGAAACCGCTACGAAATGACTCAAAAAGTGGCTTGATTCG